TGCGGTGTGGCACCGTGGTTCAAGGCTGCTGAGTGACGGCGGGGGGGCCTCATGGAGGCCTCTCCATCCGACGCCTTGCTCGGGGCTGTCGGACGATCAAGTGATTGCATGCTGCCTGAAAGCGGTAAATGCTCCGTAAGGCCGGGTTATCCATAATAATGACGAGAATGACCACAGGGCCACCCCAAGTGCAGACCCTACCCTAGCTGGTCGGGCTCCGGTTTTGTTGAATTTGCATCAGATCTATTCCGCCCGGAAATGTGTGCCCTTGGGAGCTGGGGCTCAGATGCAGAATTCATGCCTTCGTGTATTTAATAAATGTTTTGTGCCTACTATGTGCTAGGCCTTGGGAATAAACAGAACATGACAGTCTCTGTGTTGGAGCCTGGGGGGGAGGGGGGCCTGTCCCGAATGAAGAAATGCCTCTTTCTTGGGCTGAGATGAGGCCCTTTGTGCATCGTGGGAGGCAGATCCCAGCCTCCTGCCCAGAATGGCCTCCAGCGGGCCGTGTGCAAATCTGACGCTCACCACTCAGGGTGGACTCTCCCGTCTCTGTTCCCCTGACCTTGGGGAGGTGATGTCCTCGCGCAACCCAGCAGAGCAGAGGCTCACATTTGTGCTTATTAAGCAAGATTCAATCAAAGCATCATCCTTTTTTTTTAATATGTTAAAAATAGTCTCTTATTTAAAGTAACTGTATATGGGGATGTTCAAAGTAAAAATGAACTTCACTACATGGTCATTCTCAGAAAATCCCAGGAAATGTTTATGTGTTACCATTTGTAACAACATTACCCAACGATCTTAAAATTCAAAACAGACTCCAGCTCTTTCTCCGCCACCTGGCGCATGCATAGACACAGCCCACAATTTTGTGGTCAGAGGAATCTCTGAGCCTCTCCAAAGGGGTGAACCAGACAGACACCGCGGAGAGGGCTGTGCCTTCTTATTTTTTAAAAATCATTTAAATGAGGACAAATTCTTGCATAGGGAAGTTCCAAAGCCAAAACCCGACAGCTGCTTTCTCTTTTGCTACCGGGAACTGAATTGAGAAATCTCATGAACTCGGTCCCTTCTGAAGAAGTCACGGATGCAGTGACACGTCGGCCCAGCAGAAGCTGTAAAACATTCTGGCATCGACCACTGCAAATTCGTTCCCTGCTCTGAAAACGAAGGGAGGCCGGGTTCGGGTCATGGGGAAAGCTGACAAGAACTCACCCTCCTCCCACTTCCCCCTGGCAGGGCTCCGCCCCCTTCCCCCTGGCAGGGCTCCGCCCCCTCTCCCTGGCAGCGCTCCACCCCAAACCACATCAACAGTTGGGTTAATGGCCTGAGGGGAGGCACCATCAGCGTCCCCAAAACCTTGTGTGCCTGGTCCCGGGCGCCGACCCCTACCCAGGCGGGGGTAACGGCGGAGCCGGCTCCAACGGCAAGGTCACCAGCGCGCCCCAACCAGGATGAGCCCGGGGGAGCGCTGACCGGGGTGACCCTGAGGCCGAGGCCAGCGTGCAAGATTTAAAAGAGCACCGAAAAACTCAGACTTTAATCCAGACAACGTTGCAAATGCCCCATTTCACAAATCGAAATTCCCGCAGCAAATCCATAGCGAACCAACTATCACGATTTTAAATAAAAACAGGGTCAGCGCGACTGAGTTTTCCCTTTTGCCTCCAGGGCCTGTATTGACTTAGGCTGTAGCGGTGCTCAGGCGGGCGCACGGGTCGGTGAAGTGTGGGGCGGCCGCAGCCGGGAAGAGAAAGAACCAAACCGCGCTGGTGGCTCAGCAACATCGGGGGGGGGGGGGGGGCCGCCGCGGAAACAACCTTTTGCTGAGTAACACGGAAATGGATCTGAAACATATGGATTAAGTTCCTCCGAAAATAAACACGATTTTGAAAGGAAAGGAAAGGAAAAAGTACTTAGCCACGATGTTTGAGGTTTTCCTGAGCCCAAACCTTTGGAAAATTAGCATATGAGCAAATTACTCAGGGCAACACAGCTTTGAAACAGGCTTGTCATAAAACCACCAGTTTGCTTAATAACGTTTTCTCTTTTTAAACAGTTTGCCCAAATCTGCTCCCCTCCTCACTCCTCGTGAGGCTCCTTCCTGTTATTCTTTAGGGGAAGGAGAAAGCTTTGCACACCCGCTGTCAGCCTGGAGGGCTCTGGAGACCCAGGAACTGGGAGACTCGGTGGGGCTGAGCTGGGAATAACTGCTCCCACCACACAGCACGGACAAGAGCCTGGGAAGAAGGCAGGCGGCTGACGTACTCGACCAGCGCTGGACGGATGCCCAGATGCCATCCTCTACCAGCTCTGTACCCTCGGGCACCTGTGCCCTCGTCATACACCAGCAGGCACCACTGCCCACCCCCCCCCCCCACCCAGGGGAGAGGACAGAGCCAGGCGTGGCCTCTGCATCTGGTGGAAAGCTCAGGATCCCCGCGGGCCGCCCCCAGATGGTCCCATGGGATCTAGGGAACCAGGGTCTTTGGTCACCGATGCCAAGAGGTCAGAGTGACATAGGAGCCAGCCGACATCCAGCCCCTAGCAAGCGGGGCAGGCTAAAACCCCATGGTTTAGGGAGTCAAGGCCAAAGTTCAGGGTGTTCCAGGTCTGGACGTGGACGTGAGGCCAGATGCCCCAGATGTTGGTCGCCCACAGGCACCGCAGCCCTCCCCGACACTGCCCGGTTCGGCGGGTTGCTGGTCTGGCAGGGAAGCCCGGGGCAAGTGCGGATGTCCACCCAGAGGGAAACGTCCCCTGCCACTTTCCTCCGCGGCCTCGTCACATAGCCAGCGGGGCTTTCTGGAGCTGGAGGTACCCTCTAAACTCTCGGCACTGACCATGCCTCACCTTGATCACCCGGCATCAGTCATATGATTCCGACTTTAGAGCTGGAAGGGGTTCTTCAGATCCCATCGGCGAGGGCGGGGTTCTCTCTGGGTCCCCCCCACCCCCCATTCAGAGCGTGGACCTCCTCCTTTGGGGCAGCTCTGTAAGAAGCACGCAGGGGCCGCAGCTTGACCTGGAACCTTCCACCTCACCCCAGGCCAGCAGAACTTATCCATTTCTATACTTCTGACTTACAGTCCCGTTCAAACCCCATTTTCAAAAACGTCCCACATTCAGATGTGGCTACCTCGGTGAGAAAGGGCGCAAGATCCTGGATGTTCCCGGTCGTATACCCTGGAAATAAGCTCTGTTTCCCTTCTTGCCAGCTTTTCTAGAATCCGAAGAATGGACAAGATTGACGGACAAAGTTGAAAATAAGAAGTCCGTTTTCGGTGAGAAGCTCACGCCTGTCTTCGCCTCCTGTGCCCACTACAGCTGGAGTTTTCTTTTTTTCTTTAATGTTTATTTATTTTTGAGAGAGAGAGAGAGAGAGAGACAGAGCACGAGCAGGGGAGGGGCAGAGAGAGAGGGAGACACAGAATCGGAAGCAGGCTCCAGGCTCCGAGCTGTCGGCACAGAGCCGGATGCGGGGCTCGAACTCATGGACCGTGAGATCATGACCTGAGCCGAAGTCGGATGCTTAAGCGACTGAGCCCCCCGGGCGCCCCACAGCTTGAGTTTTCCGAGCCAGCCCCTGTCACAGATCCTTACCCCTGGTAACCCACACACCCCATAGCTGTTAGATAGTCACATGCAGGAAAATTCTGGCTTCATTTCATTAAAAATTGTTGACACAGAACCCCGCGAGACATCCAGAATATTAAGATGTAGCCGGACAAACCACAATCATAGGAAGATGACATTATTAAATAGGATGGCCAAGGGGCGCCTGGGTGGCGCAGTCGGTTGAGCGTCCGACTTCAGCCAGGTCACCATCTCGCGGTCCGGGAGTTCGAGCCCCGCGTCAGGCTCTGGGCTGACGGCTCGGAGCCTGGAGCCTGTTTCCGATTCTGTGTCTCCCTCTCTCTCTGCCCCTCCCCCCTTCATGCTCTGTCTCTCTCTGTCCCAAAAAAAATAAATAAACGTTGAAAAAGAAATTAAAAAAAAAAAAAAATAGGATGGCCAAAAGCAAAATGCAATGATCCAGGACAGAGGTGTTCAAACTGTGCTCCTTGGAACCCACAGAGCCCTGTGGAACCCCTCGGGGGCCTCAAGATAAAAGCCCACTCCCAGCCACAGCCCCTTTTTATCTGATTTGTAAATCAGAGTTAGTAAGATTTTGTTGGGGGAAAAAAGCGTACGGTTAAAGTCATTTACAGTCACTAGTCTATGAGCTAAAGGCACCGAACGACTCTCTCTTCTGCCGGGTATAGCCCCAGGTCTGGGCAGGTAAGGGGCGCTGTGCCTGTGAGAGGCTGAAGGTAGTCAGAGGCCCAAGCCTGCCTGTGCTTCTGGATCTTTCCCCGCAGCCTTTTCCCTATGTGGAACGCCTTCTGAACTCCCCTCCCCAAACGTCACCTTCGCCTCTTGGGAAAATTCCTATAAATTTCTGCTAGTCCTTCCAGATGCACGGGATGGCCCCTTCTCAGGGAAGCTTCTAGAATGTCTCCCAGCTTCACCTGCCCTCAGCAGGCCCCCCCCCCCCCCCCCCCCCTGACCGGGGTGTCCCCCCCCCCATCACACCCGCCTGGAGACTTCTGGCTTAGGTGTCCGCTCCCCCAGCGAGGCGGGCAGCTTGGAAGGCAGGGCCCACGGATGACCTCTGCCTCCCCGGTGGCTAACCCAGGGCCCGTGTGTAGAGACGATCAAAAGCGCCTTGGGCTGACCCGCATCCCTGGGAGGAGCCGCTCATCCCCACAGGGAGGGGGCCTGAGGAAGATAATTGAGGCTTGAATGTCATTTATAGGTTCAAAACGCAGTTGTGACTTAGAGTCAAGGGAAGTCATCTAAATGTAAACACGCCTTCTCTGTGTCTGGAACCAGAGGGAGAGGAGGCCCCCCCCAGGGTGATCTCTTAACTCCAGCAAAATTACACTCAGACGCCTCCGCCAAGCAAAGACAGACTGCCATTTGCACAACGGTCCCGCGCTTAAAAGTGACTCGGCTCAGAGCGCTGGGAAATTTATTATGACAAGGGACAAGGGATTCAAGATATTTAGTGGACCGAGAAGACGGTTTAGAAGCAACAATAATCACCTCTGAGAATGTGAGGGGTCGGTATGAGGTCACCAGGGGGACACAGGCCAGCTGGACCGCAGGCGCTCAGACACCAGAAACCCACAGGGCACACCCGGAAGTGCCGAGGTCGAAGACAGGAAGGTGCAGGTGTCCCCGCTGGCACCCCACAGGGGGGGGTCCGTGCACCAGCGCAGACTCTCAGCCCCCCACCCACCCAGACCGGCCAATGGGAGCGAGCTTCCTAACCCGGTCCCGAGACTCGTTTGCCTATTCAAGTCTCAGTCCCGCATCCATCCTGCCTCAGAAGCAGAAGATTCCAAGATAACACCCCGGCCATCTGCCGGTGCCACGAGGAGCCAGACTGTCCAGAGCTGGCGACCTGCTCGGAGTGAGTACGGGGCCGGGGGACGGCTGTGCTCGCCAGGGCTCCCTCACCCGCAGGGGGTGGGCTCGCTGAGCCCACGAGCCTGGAGAGGGGCCCTGGAAAAGCAGCAGGGTGGGGAAGGGTGTTTCCTGGCCCCGGGGGAGCCGAGCGGAGAGCAAATGTATATTTGATGACATTTCTCTGCAGGCAGTCTCCCTTCTGAAGAGCCAGGTTTGAACGAAGCCTGGCACCGGAGCAGACGGAGGACAGGAGGACAAGGGAAGGAGCGGGAGACCCACCAGAGGGGCTAGGATGGCCCCTGGAGGGAGCGAGCGGGTCCGGGGGGCGGGGGCAGAGGCACAGAGAGGAATGCCACGAGAGCCACCACAGTCCTACCCCCTTTAACACAGTTTCCGTGTGTCGGGCTCTTGGGGAAGGAGGCTCAGGGCCCAGGTGAACACTGTGAAAAAGGCACTCAGCACTGAGAAGGGCCCCTCTGTGCCCACTACCCCTCCTAACGCTCTCTTGAGCCCCAGCTACAAACGCAGGATGCACTCGCTCTACAGACGGTGCCGCCCTGCAGACACCACAGAAGGGGGCCACTCAAGCAGCGGGGTTCAAGGGCCGTATGCGCCCCTCTCAGCCTGCTGCCTCCCCCCCACCCCCCGAATGCCGCTCTTGCCATCAGACTGGTCTGTCCGGAGACTCAGCCCCTGCTGTTGCGCACAGAGTGCCACGGGGCCCGCGGAGACCCCCTCTCCCTCCTACACCTGTTCCTCCCCTGGTTGGCCCCGCATTCCAAGAATGTTCTGTAGTTCGGTCGTCTTCCTACCAGAAAGCTGCGCGCTGGGGACCGGAACCTGCAGGGGAGTCCAGAGAAGACAGCCAGCCCTTCAAGGTCAACTGGGGTTCAGCCTCCTGCACCATTCACATCGCCACATCGCCGGGCAGGCGAAAATGACCGAGAGACTCCCAGCATCTGTGGACTGCATCCTTGAGCTTAGAGGCAGGGAGCTAAAAAGTCTTCTGATCTGCTGAGGAAAATAAATAAATAAATAAATAAATAAATAAATAAATAAATAAATAAATAAAACTAACAGACAGGAAATCTAGGAGGACTAGAATGTGAAACTGGCAGAAACACACACACACACACACACACACACACACACACACATTTTGGGGGAAAAACTCTAACTGTGAGATTGGGCCCGTTATAATTCCATTATCCAAACTTCACGCTCTCAGTGACATATACCAGGCAGAACCCCCACGTGCAGCACTGTGTCCTGGGCGGTATGTCACAGCCCCCGGCAGGGCTCCACCAGGAAGGGGTGTGCTTCCTGCCAGGTCGCGAGCGCTCGCGGGCTTCCTAGACCAGGCGCTGCCCCGGGGAAGCGACCCTCGCTCCATCCTGCACAACCCAGAAGTGGGGGCCGTGGAAGCCACTCCCCCGGCAAGACCCAGGAGAAGGCCCTGCCCCCCACCAGCAGGACAAGGAGGCCCCCTGGAGGTCCCGCCTTCTTCGAGAGAAGGATCCGGGAGAAATAATCCTCCAACCCAGGGAGCTATGACAGTATTTTGAAAACGACTCACTTTGTCTTTCTTCCAAGTGTATACAGGTGAGAAACACAGGCGGCTGACTCGTCTCACAAAAATTCTTCCATTTAGCTTTCAGTGAGATTTTTGTTGGCACTGGGATCAGCTTCGACACGGGCATGACTTTTGTCAACCAGTTCCCCAACAGGAACATTAAGCAGGGTTTGGAGTCTGTGTCAAATGATGGCAGGTTAGCAGAGAGAGAGAGAGAGAGAGAGAGAGAGAGAGAGAGAGAGAGAGACAGCAGAGGGCAGAGGGCTGGTGATTCAAAACAAATGCACAACTGCCTTTAAAATGCACCTGTAACCACCACCAACTTAAGAGCTTTCTCTGTGCTCAGCTAGGGGCTAAATGCTTTCCACTTAGTTCTCATCAGCAATTCTGCAAGAGAGACTGTGTGGTCCCATGTGACAGACGAGGAAACAGGCACAGAGCTTAAGTGACTGTCACAAAATTACACACGCTGCCTCAAAAAAAAAAAAAAAAAAAAAAAAGGTGCCTGATTCTTTTTACTCTCCACGGACCTCCATCGGTCACAACTGGAAGCCGACCTTGGAAATTTCTTACGATTTTCAAGTAAAGGCAGACACACACTTCTGCACAGGTGCACATATACAAAAGGAACACACAGAGCCAGTGCCGTTTCTCATCAGAGAACGGAGATGTTTAATTTGCACAGATATGAACCCCTACAGGTTCTCTCCTCCCTGTTTCCAAGCAACCAACTTGAAAAATCATCAACTGGGCTCCAGAGGAACCTTTAGAAGCTTCCTTACGAGTGCCATGCACCCTGCAGAAAACCATTAGGATCAGAAGCGAGTACAGTTGCGTTCCCAAATGCATCTGGACACATTCTCTAGAACTTGCTCTGGCTGGAGTCTCCTGCATTCCGTCCCTGTGACTCTGAAACTAATGTATCTTCCCAAGATCAAATTTACTAAATAACTTAATGGAACGTAGCAAGACCCTATGCCGTGCACAGGAAGCGGGCTGGGCAGTTCCTAATTAGGTCTGGCATTATCTCACTGCCTCAGTCGGATGCTCGGGCGTCACACATTTATGACACCTCTGAGGGACCTCAAGAGGTCCTTTGTGAGTGCCACAAAAAAGCCAGGGACGCCCTGTCCCCCAACACCATACCAGAGGTCCCGGACAGAGTTCACCTGCAGGCTGATCTAGGTCCCAGTCACAAACCCTGGCTCCCTCCCGAGTGGCTCCTGCCGCCTCGGGACAGGATCCAGAGGGCTCTCAAAACCTAGCTGTCCCTCTCCTCCCTCCTGTCGCCCCAACGCCTGGAGTCTGGGAGGACGCACCTTCCCGAGAGCCAGGGCCGCACACCCGGAGTGGAGGAAGTGGCTGGGAGCTGTCCATGGTGGCGCCGCGCCTGGGCACGCAAAGCCGCGGGTCCCCAGCCCCGGGGCGCGCCCGGCATCCCTCTCCAGACCGCTGGAATGGAGACTCGCTCCCAGGCTCACCATCTCCGGGATGGGGCTGAAGCCAGGCGCTGGCTCACACATCAAAAGATTAGTTTCAAAACAGAGTTCTCACCTGTGGGCAACGCTGGCTGCGCGGAGCGAGACTCAGGACCTCAAAGCCGGCTGCTGGAGGCGCGCCTGGACGGCCGCCGTGCTGGACGCTTGGGGACCGGCGGCGGCGGTCTCTGAGAGCTGAGAGTCTGCGGCTGACGACCTCGGGCGCACTGGGCGCCTTTCTCCAGAGCACATGCGTGCCGCCGGGTCCATTCCAGAAGGTCTCTGGCCCTGGTTCCCGGAGCGGCGAGCCGGAGACGTGGCCGCAGCCCTGGCTTGCGCTCTGCCAGGTCCCTGCCTTTCCTCCCAACCTAAGGTAACCTTTTCTGGAGCCGACGTCCCGTGCCAGGCACCACCAAACCCTCTCCCGGCAACGCCGGGTTTGGAGTCTCAGTCTAAACATCAACAGGGGCCGTCAACTTCTTTTCACATCCAGTCGCCTCCCGCGCCAGCGCGACGCGGGGAGCCCAGCGCGATCCGGAGGTGCGGGAGCCAGAGGCGGCGGGAGGCGGAGGGGGGCCCAGGAGGAAGAGCGCGCGGGGCCGAGCCGCAGGGCGCAACGTGGCCAGGCGCACACGCGCTAGTGCACAGTGTGAGCGGCCGGACCCGGCGACCCGACCCTCGGAGCGGTCCCTCGCCCGCCAGCCACCGTCCCGGGCGCAAGACTCAGCCACTGAGAAGGGGGGAACGCTACGGAAAGCAAGAGCACCCCCCCGCGCTGGGTGCGCTCCGTGGACGCCGGCGCCCCCGGCACCTGCTGCTTGCACAGATCACACGGGCTCGGTGAAATCTCACAGAGGACAGTGACAGGGGCGCGTGCCCATCAACGGACGCTCGGACGGACGGACACACACACAGACAGACAGAGGCGCACCGCAGAGCAGCGAGCGGACGGGCTGACCGAAGCCACCGACGGGCGACGTTTTCCCGCGACCCTGCCCCCGCTCCGAGCTCGGGGCGTCCGCGCTCCCGGCCCTCTTACCTCCGGGTCCGCGGCGGCGGCGACGGCGGCGGCGGCGGCACGCCTCCC